AGAAGAAGAAGAAGAAGAAGAAGAAGAAGAAGAAGAAGAAGAAGAAGACAGAAGCCCTAACATACTGTCATGACACAAAGGAGGAAAAAGACTCAGTATCCCCACCCGTATAAAGATTAGTTTGTTTCTCAGGGTTTTGGTTAAAACGGAAGTTTCTTCTTTTTCTATTTCCAGTCTTCAGCTTTAACTGGAGTTCTTATCTGGAATGCTATTTCTTCTTAAACACAGTGGACTCTTTTAAAATCATGAGGCTTTTTCTGCTACAGCTCTTTTAGAAAAAAGGTAAAAGTCCTAACATATTCAATGATGAGACTGGGGAAAACTGAGCACTTCTTGCCCCCATAAAGGTCAGTTTGCTCCCCGGGGTTTTGGCTAAAATTGTTCTCCCTTACCACCTTCATCTCTTGGAGTCCCTGCCTTCCTTCAAGACTCAGCTCAAGCGTCACCTTCTGTAGGAGGTAGTTTCTTTTTTTTGTACTGTATCTGCTGGTCCCTGAAGCATGTGTCTTTGTGTCTTTACTCTGGCGTAGGCTCAGTAAGTCTATGTAACTTGCTGCTTAATTTATGCAGGCTAAACTGTTCTAAATTTGAATAATTGTGATAGCAATCTTCTAGCAAACTGCCAGTGGCTCTCAGGGTCCCCCAGTTTCTTAATTTCAAAGCATTTTGGCCTCTCATACAAAGGAGTGGAAGATGGAATGGCAGATACAAAACTAAAACCAGGGCTAAGGGTCTGCCTTTCCTGTGTGTGTGTGCGTGTGTGTGTGTGTGTGTGTGTGTGTGTGTGTGACAGAGAGAGAGAGAGAGAGAGAGAGAGAGAGAGAGAGAAAGAGAGAGAGTGTGTGTGTATGTGTAGCCATAAAATCTTTCCATAGCTTTAGAATTTAACAGGGCCTTTATTTTTCTGATGGAAGTACTAAGGGATGTTTCCAATGTAAACTCCTAAAGGAGCTGGACTTTTTTGGCTTTATTTTGTAAATCCAGCACAGTGCTGTACTGTATAATCAATCAACCAACCAACCAATCAATAAATAAACATTTATTAAGCTCTTTCTATATGCCAGATAAGAACTTGGGGCACACGAAAAAAGAAAATGGATTCTCTGCCTTATATTCTGATGGAGGAGCCAGCAAGTACTTCATATAGGAATCTACAAGATCTGTACAAAAAATAAAAGGTAACCCTAGAGGGAAAGGCACTAGCAGCCGTACGGAGGAGAATAGGGAGAGGAGAGACCAGGAGAGGCCTCCTACAGAAGGTGGTGTTTGAGCTGAGTCTCAAAGAAAGCCAGGGATTCCAAAAGGTAAAAGTGATGAGGGAGAACAATCCAGGCATGGGGTACAGCTAAGGCAAAGACACAGAAGTGGGAGATGGCTCATGGTACATGAAGAACAGCAGACAGGCCAGTATGCCTGAATTGTAGAGTGCATTGAAGGGAGTGATGTATAAGAAGGCTGGAAAGACAAGAAGGCACCGAGATATAAAGAACTTTAAATACTAAAATAAAGGAGTTTATATTGGATCCTAGATGTGATAAGGAGCCACTAGAGTTTATTGAGTCAGGGGAGGGAGTATGGCATGGTCAGAGCTGTGCCTTAGGAGAATCACTTTGGCAGCTAGGTAGAGGATGGATTGAAATGGAAAGAGACATGAGGCAGGAAACCAATTGCAATAGTCCAAGCAAGAGATGTTGGTGTTCCTGAGCTAAGGTAACATCTGTATGGGTATAGAGAAGGGGATCTATATAGATGAGAGATGTTGTGGAAATAAAAATCAAAGATTTGGAAATTCACTGGATAAGTGGGGTGAATGAGAATGAGAAGCTGAGGATGAGACCAAGGATGTGAACTTGGGTGACTTAGGAGGAGGATGTTGCCCTGAGGAGTAAGAGGAAGTTCAAAAGAAAAGTAGGTTAAGGTAAAAAGGTAATGATTTTTGTTTGGGTCATATCGAGCTTAAGATGCCTACTAGATATCCTACTCCAAATGTCTAATGGGTAGCTGGTGACATGAGACTTGAGATCCATAAAAAGGACTAGGGGTAGATATACAGATCTGAGAATCATCTGCATAGAGTTGATGAATGAACCTATGGGAGCTGATGCGATTGCCCAATGAAAGAGAGTAGAGAGAAAAGAGAAGGCTCAGGACAGGATTTTACCTGCAGTTAGTGGGCATGACATGGATGAAGACCCAACAAAGGAGCCTGAGAAAGAGTAGTCATGCAAGTAGAAAGAGAATCCAGAGAGAGCAGTGTAACACATTGGATACTTAATAAATGTTCACTAAATGGGTGACTGTTGAGTACCAGTTAGTAAAATTTGCTTCGTTTCTACACATAAAGGATGGTCATGTAAGGGAAAACCTCCAGATTTGGAGACAGACAACTTGTATTCCTACCTGTTTAACCGTGGGCAAGTTATTTCATCTGTCTAGACCTTGGTTTTGTCATCTGCAAAAGGGCAGGATGACCTCTAAGGTCCCTTTCAGCTTTCAATCCTATGATCTTATAATTATTTGCAAAACCCCTTGTTTATTTTCTGACAGTTTTGAAAATCAACCACCATGCCCCTGTGTAAAGTGAGTGCTGTAATACGTGGTGGTTTTCCAGATGGCCTTGGCCAGCATAGAAACAGTAAAATGATGTTCTGCATTATTTAACTGCTAAGTTTCATCACCAGGTCTCCCTCCCTGTATCTTCTATCCTCTTTAGCGAAGTAGGAAAAAAATAATAATAATTAGAAGGTAATGAAGGGCCTACCATTATGTCAAGGAAGACTAAAAGGTTGCTTTCTGTTGTATTTCTGTATAGGTTTATTTTCTGTCTTTATTATCCTATTAGTTTTTAACATTCAGTTACTTGCTATTAAGGCAACATACACTTAGGTTAAGAGTTATTACAGTTGGAAGCATTTAGATCATTAGATAATCATAATCGTAATGCTTCTTAGTGTGTCATGTGGTTCAACTGATGCTCTGATTCTGTAGATCAGAAAAGTTTAAAAAAATCCGTAGCTGCTTACTTAGAA